TTTTTTATAGATTAATATACCCGATCTTAAAAAAATTTAAAAGAGCTTGGCCAGATACTTTTCCGAGGGTAGTGTATATTAATTAATGCTCTGATAAAAATATTTTCTTCAATTACACAATTCACAATCATTATTTTTTATTATAATATATAATATTCAAAGTAAAAATTAAACCTATTAACAAGCATTAGAGAATAATTTGGTATCCTGGAATGGTAGTGGTATATCATCACTTGGTCTAATTGGCTAATTCATCACTTCAAAATACTAACCGCTTAATCTTTCTTAGTCATATCTTTCTTCGATGCTTATAAAAGACAGTCTATTTTTCTCTTATCTCAATTATCTCAACTGAATCAGATTCTTTAAAAGACTCAGACGAATAGAAGAAATACTTACATTTTTTGTATATTTGACGAGAAAACTATTTCTTGTATTAAATTGACCATAGTTTTCCTATCCACACATTCGTTTAGATCTCTTAATTTGATTTTAAAGGATCTCATATTACTTTCCAATCTTTTTACCCTTCTTTCTAAAGTGTTATATTGGGAATAAAAATCTTCTAATTATTACTTTAATATTCTATTTTCACCAGAAAGCGCACTATACATATCTACATTTTGCTTATCTAGTCTAAATATTCAGGCTAATTTTTCTGTGCATTTGATAACTTTCTGCTTATTAGTTATATTATTAGATGAATGCTTTTGATCAGTTATCATTTTTACGATATATTATATATGCTATATCTTGCTTCAAACAAAAAAAAATAAAATTCCTTTTTGCACACCTTTGGTTAGTAATACCTGACGAAATTACCTTTTTTAATATGACGAAATTGATGAAACTGAAATGACGAAACTAGTTTTTTTATTAATGACAAAATTATTTTACTTAATTGCCAAAATTATATTTAATTTGATCTAAATTCTTTGAATTAAATACATTAAAAAAATAATAATTTTATATTTATTCATATAAAAATATTAAAGAGACGAAACTTTTGACGAATTTATAATTTTTCAAAAAAGTGTTTAATTAGGTATCACTACCTTTAGTACTTCAAAAGATAAGCAAAGCAAACAAATATGTAAAGAAGCAATAAAGAGGGGAAAATAACAAATTATCACCTTCTCTCAAGTGTAAGAAGGCTGTGATTAATTTTCACTTGATCAACCAGATATACATTAGCAGAATTAATCTATTTTTTCTTTATCTTAACCTGGTCTGTCTGAAATCCTTTCAAACAATTGTAAAGAGATGGTTATTCATTATGCTATAATGATCTATTGATATAGATTAGCTTACTACTTGTCTACATGCTAATTCTCGTAAACTTTGACAATAAGAATCATTTCTACCACTATAGATTCTACAAGTATAGTCTGCTCCTATTTTGCTTAATTTAATTTTATGTTCAGCTAAAGCCTGATTAATTGGATTTACGTTAACTATACTACTACAATTTTTTTATAAGAAGAAAATTTTTCTGTATTGCTTTCTGAATCCAGGTAAGAAACTCTTTTGCTTATATTGGATCTTTTTTCATTGAGAGAAAAGGTTGGGATTCCCCTACTCTTATTTTATCCTTAATTTTGAAATAATTAGTACAATATCAGAAATAATCAGGATCATATCAGGTCTGATGTTTCATATTTATCAATACAAAGAGTGGCTAAATCTGCTGATCATATAGATAATATTACTATTATATCAACCAGATTCTCCTTAGAAGGTGGTTTAAAAATATCACATTTCTCGAGTCTTAGCTAAAGATTTCTAAATAGAAATAAGAAAGGCAGTTGGTATCTTGATATTTATTAAGTATAAAGTGTCATGCTTGAATTTTGTTTGATTTAGAAGTAATATAAGAAATCTTTGTCACTTTATTTTTGAAATGATCAGCTTCATAATCCTGTAACTTTTTTCATAATAAGGTAAGTTGAGAACTTCTTACGATTGGATTGAGTGTAGAACTGACCAGATCATATGTAATTTGTTTTATTTTCTCAGGGGGATAGTCATTATCTATAATTTCTTGTGCAATTTTATCAACAGGATTTCTATCTTCTTCATACTTTTCAGAAGATCGAATAGGAATAAGAACTTCTGTTTATTCCTTAGTTAACTCCAATTGTTAGAAGCATATTCTGGCATTATATAGTATTTTGCTTTATGATCCTTCAATCTTTTACCAATTTTCTCTGTATATTGTATTTAACTAACTCTGATAATAGAGTTTTAGAAATTGTCTATTTATGAAGTTTCATGATATCTGTAATAACTTTTGACATATTGTTTTTGGATTACAATATATTTAAGTATACTAATATACATCAACTTTATATTACACATAAAAATTCAATTTGAAAAAATTTCTTAATCAGAGATTTTGGAATATATTTTAACTTTCTTCTGGTAATTAATGAAGAAAATAAGGATTCTAGTTTTATGTAGCTTTGGCCAAAAACACTAAAGCAAAAAAATTTTAAATATCTATAATAAAAGTGAAAATGAAGTTTTAAGATTATTAATATCAAAATTATCTTGTATAGATCATTTATCCTATTAATATATCAAGAATAAAGTTGCTTGTCTAAACTCATTTTGGATTTGGCAAAATGGTAAAACCTTTAGTTTCGCTAAATTTTTACTAAGTG